TAATTCATCGTCAAAGGTAATGCAACCTTACGTTTCTTCTACAAGTTAATTTTCAAAAGCCGTTGACGTTATCGTCTCTCCATTTTGCAATTTACCGTCACAAGTGTTGAACTTGTTTTCCTTCTTGCAATTTACCATGGTTAGGCCCATGCACCACATTATTGTGGCTTCGGAATACATGATGGTAATAAAGGCTGCAAGAATATTTTCTTTGGCCAAACTTTGTAATAAAAATCTGAGGAAAGAGAAATTATCAAAATATGATGTGGATTGTGGGAGGGTAAAAGGGTCAATGTATTTTTCTTGTACACGACCATGCACGTAACTAGCTGACAGTGGGCTAGTGTGATGTGACCAAAAAATCGATTTTAGTGGAGGGATAATTTCTATTAAACGGGCCCTTAATCTCCAATAGGTGTCTTCTATAACTCAAAATCCATCTCTAATTTATATTACTATATTTAATAGGAGAGAGAAAACTAATGAATAGAGGAGGAAAAAAAATTAATAAGAAAACAAGATAAAGAAAAGCTTAAAGAGGGTATATAATATTCAATTGTGATTTTTGAAAACTTTTATAGGCTTTTTTCAAGTGAGGACTCGTGGGGATTTTGTGAACTTTTTATGAATTTGTATGAAAATTAATGGAAGTCTTATGAAAATTTTTATAGACTTTCATTTTAAAACTTTTGTAGAATTCAAAAGATTTTTTAAGACTTTCATTTAAAAAAAAAAATTCATGTGAGTCTAAAATTATAGCCCGAAATTCTCATATACGAGGTTGTAGTTCTCACAACTTTCTTTCACCTCCCTACATAATAAAAATAGTCTTGAAAAAATAAAAATTTTAGTCTCCTTACTATATATAATTTAACATTCAGCATTATCAATATGACGTATCTTTTAAAGAGTAAATAAAAATTAATATATTTAAATTTAATTATAAATTAATCTTTTTTTTTATATATAAGATCTTATAGATTTTAATTACAAATAGATATTTTCCATAAAAAATGATGAAAAAAGAAAAAAAAAAGTTATAAAAATCTTTAGTTACAATTTAATTTTTTTCCATGGAAAATGTATTAAAAAAATAGAAACAAATGTAAACAGTTGAAAAAAATAATTTTTAGTCATCACTCTAATATTCATAGAAGGAAAAAAGAAAGAAAAATATTAAAATAAAACAAAAAATACATATTAATTTTTTATTTTTATTATTATTATTATTATTATTATTATTATTTTATTTTTATTATTATTATTATTATTATTATTATTATTATTATTATTATTATTATTATTATTTTTTTTTTTGGTGTGAAAGCCTCTCAAAATTTCGAGATAAATGAGATACAAATTTGGGTTTTCATTATAATACTTTTTGTTTAGAAGTTGGTTTATAAAATTAATAATTTGAATACCCCAAAATTTATAGAAATTTTTAAAATTTTTTAATTGAATTTACCATGACTTTTAAAGGTTTTTTAAAAGTTATGAAAGTCGATTGAATACATTAATACTTCTAGAGGGCTTTATAGTTTACATTGAATGTTTCTGAACTTTTTTAATTCAAAAAGTTGTTAAATGTCCCAATTGTATACACTCATAAATTTTGTCCATCTGCTAGAACTTCTACATTATTATATCTAGACAGGCCTTTCCGTGTTGTCTAGGTGAGTTCCTCTTTCTCCTTTTATTTTATTTTATTTATTTTTTATTTTTTTGTCATTTTAGATAGATATAATTACACTTAGATTGAGTTGAAGATGAATTTTGCAAACCTTGTCTATTTTGCTGATATAGCAATTCGTTATGCAATCTTATATTAACATTAGATATATTCTTAGATATCAAAGTCACGTCAACTATAGTTTCATAGAATGCATTGAAAATGCTCTAATGTCTTAATCATTTCAAACCTTTTAATATTTTTGAAATTCAACTTATAAATTACAATTCTAGATTTCTTTATTTTGAAAAATAATGATACGCAATAAAAGATATATTTTATATTATGACAAGAATGGAAAGAATTTCGTTTCTCTATCTTGTAAACACCTTTTACGAAGAGACATGACTTTTTAAGATCTCAAAAGCCATATTTCAAGCCTACGCAGGTAGAATTTATAAATCGTCTATAAGTGGTCAAGCTCCATTTTCGACCACATATTACAATAAATTTTCAAGTACTATTTACAACTCATTTATATATATTTTATAAGTTAAATTGTTTATATATTCTTCCTAAACGGAGACTAATAACGTGGAGCTCTACAATAGATGTTATCAAGGCTAAGCTACTTGGATGAAACTTTATTTTATTTGACGTGAGAAGAGATTGGAAGCGTGGCATGGAAGCATGTTGCCCTAGTGAAGAGTAGAACACGGGAAGCAAATTTATGTCCCATGAAATACAATTTTGATATTATCAATTTAGAATAATAAAATCGTATACTTTGAATTAATGACCGCGATGAGACTTATTACTAGCAGGAGCCATATACATCGGTGTACAAGGAAAGACATAGACATTTTGAATTGGGGCACAATTAAACTCTGTACAAGTTGAATATTTCGTTCTTGATTTTTGAATGATTCATACTTGATCTGGAAAAATATAGATTTACATTTAAAAAACATTTCTTCATGAATATTTTGCTCATCATTTTTATTCATTTGATTTCGAACGGACATTTTATCAATATTTTGCCCATCACAAGAAAACGAATATTTATGTTTAAAAAATTTAAAAAATATTTGATATAAACAATCAATTCAAGTAATCAAAAGGAAAGACATATAATCAATATTTAATATTAATAATCAATCAAATAAACACAATTCGTTAAATATAAGTTAAATTAGATATAGTTAGTTTAGACACATTCTATATGCACACATATAATAGAAAAAAGTAAATTTATGTTCTAATTAGTTGAAAATCTAATTGAAAATTGAAAATTTGCAGTAGATGTGATGATTTGTAGAGAAATTATAGAGAAATTTTAAAAATTAAAATGGTTAAGGTTTTAGTAAAAAGCACGAGAGAGAGGGGGTAAGAGTAAGAGAAGAGGAAAAAAAAATTAAAAATTATTGTGATTTTGTTCCTGTTTGATGGGGATTAAAATAAAATTTTTAGTAAATTTTGATATAAGTTAAGGATTTAATGAAATATGTTATTAAAATTAAATGTTAACTTTGATTTAGATTAAAAATTTAGATTTCAATCGATACCAAATATAACTTTATCCCAGAAAAAAACGAAAGAAAAAAGTCTCAAAAGTTGGGGGGGTCACTTGTCCCTTTGGATCTGCTAGTGGAATAAAACTACTGATCCAAGCTTAAAAATAGAAGAGTGAAAAAGAGAGATCGATGTGTCAAAAAATAATTGGATGTTTTTTTTTTCAAGTTATTCAATCATGCATTGACACGTGTCCTACCTGAATTTGAGCATAAATGTGTAGTATAATTGCGGCCATTGTTGGTGTATTTGAAGTCCTATTTGACAATCATTAAAATAAAACTCTTTTTTTTTCTCAAGTTCATTTTTTTAATTTGAAGTCCTATTTTGCTTTTTCTAATTTAATTTGTAATTTATTTTAATGTAGTAAATGAAAAATTACTATTAAACCCTTTCAAAAATATTGAAAATATGGTTAAAGTCAAGTTTCTTAGTTAACTAATAGACATTTGAATTAAAACCGTTCAAAAAGGCCTCCACAACAACGTTTCAAAAGGTTTTCGGTAACGGTTGAAACAAATTTAAGGTTTGTGGAAAGTTTGCTAATGTCTTTAAGGTTCGAGGCATTTGCTGCAATTATCCCTATCTAAAATGTTGCACCTTATTTTAAAGGCCACGACTCTTTGATATGCACTTTATTCCTATTCACGCATAGAGAGGTTATCAATCTAGAGGAGATTAATTTGGTTGTAGTGTAAACACAAAAACTTATTTTTCATATAAAAAGATTGTTCGTTTCCCCCAAAATCAGAAAGGTAACGTGATTTAACCTGATAGAGCAAGATCTAATCTTGCCCAACCCCCTGCCACCCTTAATTCATAAGTTCGAGCATTGAGATAAAAATACTACAAATTACCTCGATGACTGGACTTTGATAAACCGTCGCATCCTTCTTCAATAATTCATAAGGCTAACTATTCGTTGTATCACGATCATTGATAATGTTCGTATATAAAAGTCGAGTTCAATCAAATTTTGCTACATTAAAAACATCTTGTTTTTGGGTGAAAAGTTAAAAAACATCAACTTTTCTAATGATTAACAAGAAAATAAATTGTAGTAGAAAACTTTAGAAATCGATTTTGACAATTGACAATTTACGTGCATTTTGTACCCTAAAAGAAAAGAACAATGCTATATAAGATTAGTGGTATTAGAACATTAATATACATGACATTATATTAGGTTTAGTTAAAGATAAAATCAAATAATGAATTTAATTAAACTTTTAATTTAATAATACTTAATATCATCTAAACTGATGTTAGAATATCAATGTACTAAGGACCATGTTATATGTATCGAATTTTTTTACTTAATTCCTCATCGACTACTCACAATAGAGAGATGAAGACCACATTTTGGGGTTTTTTATTCAAGCGGGTCTCGCGTGCTTTCGATAAGGGATAAACAATTAAGTAAACTTTTGAATGCACAAATAAAATTATTCATGTACTAATGGGGTGTTTGCTAGTCATTTTTATGTAAAAATGTATTTTAGAATAGTAAATTAATGTGAAATGTGTGGTTGAAAAATAAGAATTTTTTTTTAATTTACATGTAATATTATTTTAATAAAGAATGTGTGGTTGAAAAGAAAAGAGAAAAAAATGAATTTTGAAGAAAATGGTTATCAAACGGGGCTTAAATAGCATTACACGATAGAAAATATTTAAAAAAGGCGTGCTGGTAAGTGACAATATAAAAAAATAAATATAATTAAATACAAAACATTATATACAATCTACCCAATAAATAGATACTCGAAGCCCAATCGCTCTTGTCTTTGCCCTAAAACGCTTCAAAAGGTCTTCGTACTGCGGCGGCTCTCGATCTCGAGTGCTTCTTTGAAGCATTTAAAATCCACTTCAGGTGACCGCAATTCATACTTCTCAAATTAGGGTTTCTCATCTAAGTCGTTAGCCATTGTTTATTCTATTAGATCTGCCTTCTCCTCACAGTTGCTTATCTGTTCTAATTATTGTTGTTTATCTGGTAACCCTATATTCAAAATAAATCGAAGTTTAGTGTCTTTTGTGTGTGTTTTAGGGATTACGTTGTTCTATAATGATAAAAAATATACAACTTCGTAGCGCTGTGTTTATGTGTAAGATTGTGTGTAATATCCGTGCTTTTTCCCATATGAAGTATCGGTTTGCTTGTATAAGGCGTTGATTAATGTCACCTGATGGGATTACTGGCTATCCACGATCTTTATACTGTTATTTCTTAAATTTATTAATTATTATCGAACCTTTAAAAAAAAAAAAAAAAAGATGAATATGATTCATATATTTATGCTTCAGTGGGCTTAATAAATAACAATGTTGTTGGGTTTCAGAGGATGATATGAGGAATATCATATACATTGATTGCTGCTATGATGGCAATTTATCATGTATTAGCTCTATCTGATCATTCTCTTTTTACATGCATTTTAGGTTCAATAATTTTGAGTTAGCTTTTCTTTTCTTTTTTTGGCTCCCTAATTGCTATCTATCTTCACCTTGCTATATTATGGTCCAGAATAGCAAATATGGTTTATGTTTTTACTTTTTATTCAAAGATAAAGGTTTTTTGTTACTTTATGTGTATCAAATCCTTATGATCAAAATTCTTTGCTGTATTATTTATTTAAGCCACATCATTTTTTATTCTCTCCTGTTTCTTGAATTCTCAATTTGTTATATTTTGTTGTATTCTTTATTGTTTTCTTCTTTTATTTTTAACTCTTCTATTTTTGATTGCAAATAATGGTCAGGGTCCACTTAATTCTGAGAGAATGAGGGGAAGGAGCTATACCCCATCACCACCAAGAGGTTATGTTAGAAGAGGAAGGAGTCCCAGTCCAAGAGGACGTTATGGTGGTCATGGTAGAGGAGATGGTCCAACTAGTCTTTTAGTTCGCAACCTTCGCCATGACTGTCGGTAAGCATTCCTTGTCAATTTTCTTCTTCACTTTCATTACACTCTGAAGTTATTTAATGCCATTGAAATATCTGCTTTGTCAACCTAAAATGTATATTGTCTTAACTCTGGAAAATAGTTGTGGCTGCACTCTCTGGCATGGGATTTTGATAAACCTGATTTGAAGTACCATATGGCCATTATTCCTTGTTCTCGCGGTCATCTTGCTCCCTTGTGGAATTTTTATTTAAAAATGTGAAGTCTAACAAAAACTACAAGGTCTGATGGCTTAACAAGGGTTTAAATCATTCTCTATGACAGTAGCTGTTGCTTTTAAACTATGTCTGATTTATTTGCTCTGCAGCTAGACATTTTGCAATTATGAGTGACCTATAACTTGTTTGAAATTGGTGATTAAATTTTACTATTTTGAGTGGTTGTAATGTAACTTTTGTGCTGTTTCATTTTTTCCATTTTGTTACACCAATGTGTTCTGGTTGTACATTCACTACAACTTCTACTTGGTGTACTACTAACTGTTTGTTTTTCTCTATGCAGGCCAGAAGACCTAAGGAGGCCTTTTGGACAATTTGGCCCTTTAAAGGACATCTATTTGCCAAGGGATTATTACACTGGGTGAGCTTTCATAGAATGGTGTTCAGGATTAACACTGAACCTTCACTTTTTTTATGTAATTATATAAATGAATTGTTGACCTGTCTGTGCCTTATTTTAGATGGTTTTCCTTATCTGCTTCCAATTTCTATTCTTATATGTTATCATCCCGAACTGGGTTTATTTATTAAGATCTCTGAGATTTAGCAGTGAAGTAAGAGTTGTGAAGACTTCAATCAAGTCTTAAGAGTCCTGTTGACACATTCAAGTATTAAGAATTCTGTTGACACATTCAAGTATTAAGAGTTATGTTGACATCAATCAACTAGTAAGAGTACAAGATGATGTTAATGGTATTGAAGATTGGAAGGGAATTTGGTTTGTATACAATGTGAAGATATCAAGATTTCAAGTCTTGAAGAATTTCAAGCTTCTTTAAACTATCACTCACAAGGTCAGCAGCCACGTGCTTGCTTATGTGCTTATCATGGCATTGCATGTCTTGGAATTATTTATAACAATTGATTTGAATCGGGGCTGTTTGTATATTTTGGAGGCATCAAGGTCTTCTGTTTTATCTGATTTTTCCCAATAAGCCAACATTATTTTTTTACTTTCAACTTCCTTTGGAATTTTTGGTTTCTTTTCATTGACAATTTGAAAATTCATACCTGGTCAGATCATTAATTGCTGACTGACTGGGGATTGCAGCTCTTCGAACAGCCCCTTAAAAAATATTTCGCTTGGGCTGGCATGCTCCCGTGCTCAACAATCACACTCACTTTCTCTCTTTCCCTGCTCTCTTCTATATTGTAGTCAACCGCGAGGCTTCGGATTTGTTCAGTATATGGACCCTGCAGATGCTGCTGAAGCTAAATATCAGATGGATGGTCAGATTCTGCATGGTCGGGAGCTTACAGTTGTTTTTGCGGAGGAGAATAGGAAGAAGCCAACTGAAATGAGAGATAGGGAACGTGGAGGAAGGTAAAGTTTGTCAATACATTTATCTATGTAATTTAAAAATTTCACTTTCTTGCCGTGCATTTTCACTTTGTTTAGTAGCTAATAAATTAGATGATGCTGGTAGCATCTTTGATTTAGTTAAATGTTTGTTGTGAAATCTTAATATTCTTGATGCATCTCTTTAAAGTGGGTGGACCATCCTTTTTGAGTCTAGTTCCTCACTTTGACGACCATCCTTTTCTTTATTCTGAATATTATTTGTTGCAGAGGTCGTGTTTATGATCGTAGGCGGTCTCCCCCTCGTTATTCTCGATCCCCAGTGCCAAGCTATGGAAGGTCCACATCTCGTAGCCGTGATTACTATTCGCCCCCTCCTAGAAGAAGATACTCTAGGTTCTTATTCTTTGTATCCCTTTTGTTATTTATTTACCAGTTTGAAATGGTATCCAATGTTACAAAATTGTTCATATAAATGGCAGGTCTGTTTCCCCACGGGAGAGAAGATACAGTAGAGAAAGGTCATTCTCACATTCACCAGCAAGGGGACGTTCTCCACCATATAATGGTTCAAGGAGCCGCAGTCGAAGTCCAGTGAGAGGCCTTTCACCTTATGGCCCCAGAAGCCACAATCAAAGCCCTGGTAGGGCCCATTCTCCAGTGAGGACTCGAAGCCGGAATCGTAGCCCAAGCCGTAGCAGAAGCAGGAGCCCTTATCCTGGGGATTACTCGAGGGATCCCCGCAATGATAGGTCTCCTAGCCAGTGAGTACTGTTGGAAAAAGATTCTCGTGTACTTTAATTTCTTCTACCTAACATGTTGAAGTTCTTAAATTTCACTAGTACTGTAACATTGAAGTTTGAGAAATTGGTGGGTTATAATGTTTGGATGATACTTTGTAGGATAACATTTGTGGTTGGTTTGTCAATTTCGTTGCCTTTGCCTTTCGCTGACTATTTGCTCTGGTTTGTTTCTGGATAAAATACTTCATTAATATTATGTAAAATTTTTATCTTATTGTGCCCCTCTTTGAGCCACATTTTTACCTTATTAAAATGAAAAATATGACCGTTATTCATAATATCAAGTCACCGTTTTTGAATTTCTATCTTTGATGTGGGGTTCATAACGACTTTATTTCTCATTCTCATTATAATGTGGCTCAAACAGGCTCTGTATATGGTATAATTGATAACTTTACTCTGGACCGAGCTAGACTCTCAGTAAAATGTTGACACATTGCTGGAGTTTTGAGTTGTCAATTATTCAGGTTTCAAAACCTCTCTGGAAATCTCGTAATAAATTTCGAGACGACACTTATGGACCAGGCCTGCTGCTTGTTTTGATTCTTTAAAGTTCAGCTGTCTACTTCATTAATGTAATGCCTCGAAAATTTTATAAAGTAAAAATTTATTTATTCTGTATGTTATATATCTATATTTTGAAATTGAGGGACTAATGTGAAATATGTTTTAAATTAAGTCCGATTAAAAGAATAATAGGTTAATAGAGTTGGTGAGTGCTTGTAATATTAATAATTAAAATTCTTTTCCTCTTTGAATTCTTATTATGTGTTTGATATGAAACTATAGTACAATTCAAACTACTTGTTGAAATCGAATATAAGTTGGCCAAGTGTTCTATTTTTAATGGGATGATTTACTCGGAAAATTAATAGTAGATTATGTTATAGACTCTATTATTTAAGAACAATTCTATACGTACAAAATTAATTTTCGTAGAAATTGATCGGAAAAGATGGGTGGATGATTTTTTAACCATTTTTATCAAACCATGGGGCTCACAGCATGTGAGAATTGTGGCAGACTTCTGTATTGTTTTCTTATGTGCATGCAGAATTTTTCATCATTTAAAACCAACTTTTATACAAATTCCTTGTATTATGCAATTTTTAATTCTAGTTGCATACCAAGTTAATTAATTGAAAATTTCTACTATAAATACTAAGAATTTTCTTTATTTCACCATAGGAAATAAAGAGAGCCATGCTAGAGAAAAAGTACGGAAAAATAAGATAATAATTTTTACGTGCAGAATTTTATTTTTTCCAACCTTTCAAAATTAAGGTAAGATATTTATGTGCAAGCGATTTGCTTCCTTGTACTTTTATATATTCGATTAAATATGCATTAATTGTCAGTTGACCTTTGGGTTCTTTAGGAAGAGAGATGAAATCCTACGGGAATTTAGGAAGACATAAGATAGGTGTGTCACTTGGTCACCGATATACTTCATAAAAGAAGAATGTTATCAAGTGTTTATTTATTTATTATATATAATTGTGTATGAAAATCGCACGCATCTTATTGAGTATTTTTAATTATTCACTCTTACAAAAATTTTGCACATTAGTTCGGGTCGATTAAATTAATAGCAGGATGGTGATGCAGACTGTCAAGTTGATCGAAGAAAATAAAAAAATAAATATTAAGTTTTTCTGTCTTTAAATTTATTAGTAAGTTTAATTTATATAAAGACTTGTTATTTAATTAATTAGCTGAATATATTTATTTTTTAAAGATACAATTTCCATATTTAGTTTAAATTTGTGAATATTGCAGTATTTTATTTTTAAAGAAATTTATTTTTATCCTTTTGTATTTAAAACAAACAAAAGTGAGTTTTTGGTGACACTTCATAATTTATCAAATTTTGGGGTGTTACAATTAAGTCCCAACAGGCGCCTCACTAACTACCTGCTTATTTAAATACCTGCTTGTTTTAATAATCGGTAGTATCCAAATCATTCGACCAGTGGCTTGTTTGAAGGCCAGGCAGCACTTTTAAGTCCTGTCCAAATTCAAAAGCTTTATGGACAAGTCCAATTTCTTGGCAAAGTTGATTTTCCCTGAAGGTAAGTGTTGGCCCCAAAAATGTTGTCAACAGATATCGAAGAGCCTAGTCCAACACGTTAAAACATGTTGACGGTCTCAAATGGACAGATTAAAGGCGTGGGAGCGACTCAAAAGCGCGGGACGAGAACGCTCGAAATCCGGTAAGATGTTTGCATAACGATTGTACAATAATTACCAATCGATCTTTGTAGAATGCGAATATAAATTTGTATAGTACTGTATTGCAAGATGGTAAACAGGTAGTTGTATAGAGTGTATTAAGATAGCAAAGAATGTATAATCTCAATTCTTATATTGAATCTTGCATTATTCTTGGGAGAGATGCATGAGGGAGTATTTATAGTATTACAAGTTATATCGTGTCCCTCGGTTGGGAGTACACGTGATCTCATCTCGTAAGTTTACATGTCAAATTATAGATATCACACTTAACTTCCTAGCCTGCTATACAATTATTAATTGGCGACGGAGACAAGACAAAACACTTGTACTCTATGATGGGTGTCTCATCAATCAATCATGAATAATCCTTGTGTAGGACCGAATCTCTGGAAAGGAGCACTGCTTGGGGAATCTGGGCCTCGGCAAGGGCAGACCACCTCGACCTATTCATTTCGATGTCAGCATTTGGGCCACGTCATAGGTGTTGTTTAAGTAGGTTGGTTGACTTCAATTGGCCTGGGAGCCTGGACAAAAATGCCACGTGGTTCGACATAGGTGGCCATGGGCCCAATGAGTCGGCCAAGTGTGTCAACACGTAATAATAGTCCCCCAAATCCAAACACGGTCATTTATGTAATGGCTGGACCCCAACTTTTAAATGTTCTTTAAGGTATTGAAGACAGTCCACTGTACACAAATTCGGTGTTATTGTTTGTGAAGATTACAGATACTAATAGATTTGAAGATCCCATTTCATAACTCAAATGGCATGTTTACTATTTCAAAAATTGGAGATTTTTTAGTAAATATTAAACACCCATCCAATCCCTAAATCTCCCCCCTAAACCTAACAATTTTCTCCACTCTCTGTTTACCAAGTAGTTGCTAGCCGGTTAACATCTCAGATGGCGACACCAGAGGAAAAAATTAAAGGAGCGTGACATGCAGCGGTGGCGCCTCCACTGTCACGCCACGCTGCAAAATCGCACTGTTGCGGACGGTTTGCAGAGTCGTTCGTGGTGTCTAGCCTGGCCCTACGACGTAGTGAGAGGTATCCCTCGCCTGGCAATGTAAGGGGGTATGAAGATCTCTTCTTTTTTCCTTGTTTTGATTGGTTCCATGGTTGATTAAGGTGTAGGATGTGGGTGGGATGGTGGGTTGTGGTGGCTCCGCTCTAGCGGTGGTTGTGCCTATGTTGAGTTGGATTTGGTGGCGAGGCGGCTCTGCTGTAGTGGTGGCGACGGCGGCTCTTTGCGATGGTGAATCTGTTGGTGTGTCGTGTTGATTGGTTGTAGTGAGGTGGTGGTGGCTCTGGTGGCGGAGGTGCTCTATTGTGGTAATGAATCTGTTAGTTTGCTATGGTGTTGACAGATTGTTGTGAGGTGGTGGCGGCTCTGTTGGCGGCTTTCTTGTGGTGACGACGGCTCTTGCAATGGTGAATCTGTTGGTGTGCTGCGGTGTTGACAAGTTGTCATGAGGTGGTGGCGGCGACAATGACACTAGAGGCAGTGGTGAGGCAGTGATTACAAATTATTTAGTTAATTGTAACTAATAAATTGATCAATGTGTAACCAATAAATAATACGTGGCTAACGAAATAGATAAATTGGGACTAATAAATAATATGTGACTTACAAAATTTATTAATTTGTGATCAATAACTTGATAATTTATGACTGTACAATAAGATGTGACTTATAAAATTAGTTAAATGTGATCGATAAATAAATTTTGATTATAATTTTTTTATTTGTGACCAATAAATAAATTGCGACTTGTAAAATTTTTTATTTGTAACCGTAGAATAATTTGTGACCTATAAAGTTTTTTATTTGTGATTGAAAAATAATTTTGATTAATTAATTCGATAATTGTGACCATATTGTATAGAATTGTTACCTCAATATATTTAATTAATAAAATATATTTTTGATTTTATAAATAAAATATAATAAAAATCCGATTTTTGAAGTTTCAAACTTGTTTCTTGATTTTGAAATATATGATATTTAAACTCTTATAATTTTTTCCCTTATTGTTATTGCTAAGTTTGTAATGTCTTAATGTTTTAATTCATATTCCGCCATTTGCATTTGATATTTGTAATATAATGTTTTGAATGTCCGAGGTAGTTGTACTCAATTTTGATCAATTCAATTTTATTCACCTGATCAATACAATTTTGATATATAT